GGTAGGCTGTTCCCCTTCATTGTGTACTGTCCCTTTGGTCTCCTATCTCCTAGTCCCATTTCCATAACTTTACATTTGCTCGTGTTGAACTCCAGTAGCCATTTCTCTGACCATCTCTGCAACCTGTTCAGGTCCTCTTGGAGGATCCTGCAATCCTCATCTGTCACAACTCTTCTCATCAACTTTGCATCATCCGCAAACATCGACATGTAGGACTCTACGCCTGTAAACATGTCGTTAACATATACAAGAAATAGAATTGGTCCCAGCACCGATCCTTGTGGTACTCCACTTGTTACTGTTCGCCAGTCCGACTTCTCGCCCCTTACCGTAACTCTTTGGCTCCTTCCTGTTAGGTAGTTCCTTATCCATGCTAGGACCTTTCCCCCCACCCCCGCCTGCCTCTCGAGCTTGAACAGCAGTCTCATGTGCGGTACTGTATCAAAGGCTTTTTGGCAGTCCAGAAATATGCAGTCTGCCCAACCATCTCTGTCCTGTCTTATCCTCGTTATTTTATCATAGAATTCCAGAAGGTTTGTTAGGCACGATTTCCCTGTCCAGAACCCATGTTGATGTTTGTTCACAAACCTAATGTTCTCCAGGTGTGCAACCAGTCGTAGCCTAATTATTCTTTCCAGTATTTTACAGGGGATGCTTGTCAGTGATACAGGTCTATAGTTAAGTGCCTCCTCCCTATCGCCTTTCTTGAAGATCGGTACGACATTTGCCTTCTTCCAGCAACTGGGCAATTCTCCCGACATAAGTGACTCATTAAAGATCATTGCCAGAGGCACGCTGAGGGCCTGCGCTGCTTCTTTTAGTATCCACGGTGATACTTTGTCTGGTCCAACTGCTTTAGTTGCATCCAGTGTTGTCAACTGTTTCATTACCTCCTCTGCTGTCACCTCTATATCTGATAGTCTTTCATCTAGGGTAATCCCTTCCAACAATGGGAGCTGCTCAGGCTCGGTAGTGAACACTCCATGGAAACTGGCATTCAGTGCCTCGCAGATTTCCTTGTCACTTTCAGTATATGCCCCCTCTGTCTTCCTTAGTCTTGTCACTTGGTCGTTCACCGACATTTTTCTTCTTATATGACTGTGTAGTAACTTAGGTTGTTTTTTCGCTTTGATCGCAATATCGTTCTCATAGTCCCTTTCCGATGTTCGTCTTATGTTAATGTAATCGTTCCTAGCTCTGTTGCATCTGATCCTGTTGTCCTCTGTCCTTTGTCTTCTGTACTTCCTCCACTCCCGCCTGCTGGCCATTTTTGCTTCCTGACACTGTCTATTAAACCATGGGTTATTATATTCCTTCTTATTTTTTCCCTTTACTGTTGGTATAAATCTCTCTTCGGCCTCCTGGCATTTCTGTATGACTAGGTCCATCATATCTTGGACTGTTTTTCCTCTAATTTCTTCCTCCCACTGCACTTCACCCAGATAGTCCCTTATCCTCTTATAGTCCCCTTTCCTGTAGTCAACTCTCCTTTCCCAGATCTCTTGTCCCATGGTCATAAGTTTGAATTCCATCATGTAGTCAAAGACTAGGACACAATGGTCACTGGCCCCTAGAGGTATTTCATGCTCCAAATTCTCGATGTCTTCTACGTTTTGGGTGAAAATCAGATCTAATAGGCTCGGTGCATCTCCTCCTCTTTCCCTTGTGTCTTCCTTCACATGTTGTGTTAGGAAATTCCTGTCTATAACATCTACTAACTTTGCTCCCCACGTTTCGTCCCCTCCATGGGGATTCCTTGATTCCCAATTTATCTCTCCATGATTTAGGTCCCCCATGATCAGCAGCTTCGCTCTCATTCTGTGGGCTAGTGTTGCTGCCTTCTGCAGTTCATCTATACATGCCTTGTTGTTGTCATCATACTCCTGCCTGGGTCTTCTACTGTTTGGTGGGGGATTGTAGATTACCAAGATCACAATCTTCCTCCCATCTACTGTCAGAGTTCCATGTATGAAGCTTGTGCACTCATTGGTAACCCGATTTCCCAGGTCTTCAAACTTCCATTTCCGCTTTATTAGGAGTGCCACTCCCCCTCCCTGTCTCTGTGTCCTCTCTTTTCGTATCACCTGGTACCCTTCAGGAAAGATTGCATCTGAGATCATGTCATTAATTTTAGTTTCCACAATTGCAACTATGTCAGGATCTGCCTCACTCACTCTTTCTTTTATCTCTTCTGCTTTATTAGATACCCCATCAGCATTGGTGTACCAAACCTTGAGATTCTTCATGGAAACTCTTGTACCAGAGTTCTCCCTTTCTCTGGGGGTCTGGGGGATCTGGGGGGCGGGGGTGAATAGGGGCTGTCCGGGGGATCTGGGGGGTGTCTGGGGGGGGGGGGGATCGGGGGTGAAAGAGGTCAGGAGGGGTGCTGGGGGGCTAATGGGGGCTGGGCTTCTAGGAAGGTAGGTAGGGTCCGGGGTAGGACCTGGGTAGGTAGGTCTGGAGTAGGAAGGGCATATTGGGTCTGAAGATTAGGGAGGGTCTGATAGGCATAGAGGGGTTGGGAGGTAGCGTAAGGTTGGGAGTCAGAGGGTTGAGGAGGGGGAAGGATAGATAGGGGGGGGGAGGGGGAGATCGCAAGGGTGGGGGGTCAGATGGAGGTTGAGGGGATGAGGGGAAGGGTGAGGGGGTGGGGGTAGGTTTTGGGGGGGGACTGAGGGGGGTGAGGGCTAGGTGGGTTCTTGGGGTTGAGGGGATGAGGGGGGTGGGTTTTGGGGGTTGAGGGGATGAGGGCTGGACGGGTTTTGGGGTTGAGGTGATGAAGGGGGTCATTGGAATGTGGGATGAATTTGAATGCAGTGGGGTCAGAGGGGTCAAGGGAGGTGTTGGGGAGATAATCAGGGGCAGGGAGGGCTGATTTGGGGAGGGAGTGACCTGAGAAGGTGTGAGCTGGTTAGCATGGGGTGGATTAGCATTGGGGTGTGTAGCTACGCTCAAATGGCAAGAGTTGTATTGTTGTTTGCTTGCTCTGTGGGCTATCTGCTCCTCCTTCGTCATGAATTTGTCAATATATACGTTGTAGTAGTTTTCGCTACCTCTGAGTAAGTGTTGTGTGTATGTAATCCACTGCCTCTTCGTTAGTGAACTGTACCAGAACAGGTCGTTTCTTGTTACAGTTGTATGGCCCAATGCGTCGGTGGACTTGCACCTCATTCCCTGCCATCTGGGCTCTCATATCTCTCAAGATCCCCTGTAGCTCCAAATCCTCAATCTCCATCCTTTCCTGCCTCGATGGTGCCCTGGCTTCAAGCAATCCATGGATTATGATTGTCCTCTTTCTCAGTGATGGGTCATGCTGGTCGCCCCCTCCCTGGCTGACCCCCACCCCTCCCACTCCCGCTACTCCACCCTACTACTACTCCCCCTTCCCCTGCCAAGCTTCCTTTATTCCTGCCAAATTCATTAATAAGCTTAGATATTCTTGCCATTCTACCCTGCTCTTCCTGATTTCCTCTTGAATATAATCCATAAACTCTTTTTTGAGTCTTTGAACCTCGTCCTGTATCTTATTAAAGACTTCACTTTTAATCCCCTGGATTAGATGATCTATCCAAACATCCCTCTTCTCTACAAATTTCCCAATCATCTCCAAAAACCTATCTTCTTCTTCAATCATAATACTGCTGGACCTAGACACCCTTCCTGACCTAGTCATTGCTATAATGCAACCTTACCCACAGGGGTTCCAAGTATCTTACCGTCCTGCTAACACAATAGGTGAGTGAATCTCCAAGCGTCTCCCCACGTGGTGGTAGGAGGGTTGCTGCCGGGGGTGAGGTCACGGTCAGAGGTCGGTGAGGTCTGCTCCACACTGCACACTGCCACAGTACTTCATCAACTATTTTCAATTACGCTACTTAAACTATTTTTCTTCACTACCTTATGGCTTTGGTCAAAACCCAAGTTTTTTTTCATTCACTTGTACACACTTTTTCACTTCGAAGTTGCCTGATTACCCCTCGCACTCCACTAGTGAACCAGGAGCTCCCAACCCACGTCCACCCAACACGATGGTCACAACACAAGTCGTGTACTCACCTAGTTGTACTCACCTAGTTGTGTTTGCGGGGGTTGAGCTCTGGCTCTTTGGTCCCGCCTCTCAACCGTCAATCAACAGGTGTACAGATTCCTGAGCCTATCGGGCTCTGTCATATCTACACTTGAAACTGTGTATGGAGTCAGCCTCCACCACATCACCCCCTAATGCATTCCATTTGTCAACCACTCTGACACTAAAAAAGTTCTTTCTAATATCTCTGTGGCTCATTTGGGCACTCAGTTTCCACCTGTGTCCCCTTGTGCGTGTTCCCCTTGTGTTAAATAGACTGTCTTTATCTACCCTATCAATCCCCTTCAGAATCTTGAATGTGGTGATCATGTCCCCCCTAACTCTTCTGTCTTCCAGCGAAGTGAGGTTTAATTCCCGTAGTCTCTCCTCGTAGCTCATACCTCTCAGCTCGGGTACTAGTCTGGTGGCAAACCTTTGAACCTTTTCCAGTTTAGTCTTATCCTTGACTAGATATGGACTCCATGCTGGGGCTGCATACTCCAGGATTGGCCTGACATATGTGGTATACAAAGTTCTGAATGATTCTTTACACAAGTTTCTGAATGCCGTTCGTATGTTCACGTTCACGTTCGTATGTCGTGTGTGTGTGTGTGTGTGTGTGTGTGTGTGTGTGTGTGTGTGTGTGTGTGTGTGTGTGTGTGTGTGTGTGTGTGTGTGTGTGTGTGTGTGTACTCACCTAGTTGTGTTTGCAGGGGTTGAGCTCTGGCTCTTTGGTCCCGCCTCTCAACCGTCAATCAACAGGTGTACAGGTTCCTGAGCCTATTGGGCTCTATCATATCTACACTTGAAACTGTGTATGGAGTCAGCCTCCACCACATCACTTCCTAATGCATTCCATTTGCGTGTGTGTATGTACGTGCGTGTGTGTGTGTGCGTGTGCGATACTGTGGTACACTGAGGTGTAAGGACATACCTGCTCGAAGATATGGAGAGTGTGTTGGGGAGAACAGAAGACGAGGACATTCCTCATCTTCACCACGTGGAAGTAGGTCCTCACTGCTGCCTCGAACTCTCTCAACTCCTCTGTGTACCTGAAGACCGCGGTGTCATCGTCACTCCTGTAACTCGCCTCCACCGCCGGGGACGCCTCTGGCCCGGAAAACGTTTAAATCAGTCTCTGTGGTACAGTTGGGTTCCTTCTCTACTCGCAATAGGGAATCCAGGGTTCGAATCACCGGGAGAGACGGAAATGAATTAATGTATGGTATGCACAAAGAACGTGATGTATCGATTAGAAAATGAGCAGGACCCGTGACGAGGATTCGAACCTTGGCGCTGGGTACTCTGATGGGCAACAATGTGTGAGAACCCTGATTTGACTTCAGCTGAAGGAGGATTCAGTTGAATTTTAGATTGCATTGCTTTTGACCATGTCGTGGTGTAGTGGTCTAAGGCGTGTGCATAGGAGGACCCAGAGCATCGGTTTAAGTCGTCTTCATGACTCTTGCTGCTTTTCTTAATGTAAGGTATATAAAAATAAGGGTAAGCAACTGGGTGATAAAGTCTTAAGTCTAACAAAGTATGAGATATTATATTTATATACTTAATATATATATATATATATATATATATATATATATATATATATATATATGCAGTCTTTCCTGTAGACATATATTATTAAATATGACCGAAAAAGTAAGATTAATAATTCTAATACGAATTTTCTCAATATTTCCTATGTTTCTTTTCACTGTTGATGGTAATTGAAATATCAATTCTCCAAAATTCATTTTTATTTCTAGTCTGACGCGACACTTGAACACGTTTCGTAATAACCTATTACATTTTCAAAGACAGCAGCAGTCTCCGTGGTGTAGTGGTAAGACACTCGCCTGGCGTTCCGCGAGCGCTATGTCATGGGTTCGTATCCTGGCCGGGGAGGATTTACTGGGCGCAATTCCTTAACTGTAGCCTCTGTTTAACGCAACAGTAAAATGTGTACTTGGATGAAAAAACGATTCTTCGCGGCAGGGGATCGTATTCCAGGGACCATAGGATTAAGGACTTGCCCGAAACGCTACGCGTACTAGTGGCTGTACAAGAATGTAACAGCTCTTGTATATATCTCAAAAAAAAAAAAAAAAAAAAAAAAAAAAAAAAAAAAAAAAAAAAAAAAAGACTTAGTTTACACACACACAACTATAACCTGCAAACACTAAACAGAGTTCTTACTATGCTATGATTTAAACAGCTTTCATTTTATTTTATACCCCCCATTTTGGGTGAGGTGATATGTTACAACAGTTTTGGATGAGGTGAACAAAACTTTCAACACAGGACACAACACGAAACAATGGGTATTAATTGGGTAAATTGAAGGTAACAATGGAAGAACTTCAGAGGGCCTATTGGCCCATATTTCTTGATGCTTCTATATTGGAGCGGAGTCTTGAAGTGGGTAGAATATAGTTGTGCATTAATTGGCTGTTGATTTCTTGATGTGTAGAGCCTCGCAGATGTCAAGTCGCCTGCTATCGCTGTATCTATCGATGATTTCTGTGTTGTTTGCTAAGATTTCTCTGGTGATGGTCTGGTTGTGGGAAGAGATTATATGTTCCTTAATGGAGCTCTGTTGCTTATGCATCGTTAATCGCCTGGAAAGAGATTTTGTTGTCTTGCCTATATACTAAATTCTTTGAGGCTTACAGTCCCCAAGTGGGCATTTGAAGGCATAGACGACGTTGATCTCTTTTAAGGCGTTCTGCTTTGTATCTGGAGAGTTTCTGATGAGTAGGCTGGCCGTTTTTTTGGTTTTATAGTAAATCGTCAGTTGTATCTTCTGATTTTTGTCTGTAGGGATAACGTTTCTATTAACAATATCTTTCAGGACCCTTTCCTCCGTTTTATGAGCTGTGGAAAAGAAGTTCCTGTAAAATAGTCTCATAGGGGGTATAGGTGTTGTGTTAGTTGTCTCTTCTGAGGTTGCATGGCGTTTCAGCTTCCTTCTTATGTTGTCTTCAACGAAACCATTGGAGAAGCCGTTGTTGACTAGGACCTGCCTTACCCTACAGAGTTCTTCATCAACTTGCTTCCATCCTGAGCTTTGGCTGAGAGCACGGTCGACATAAGCGTTAATAACACTCCTCTTGTACCTGTCTGGGCAGTCACTGTTGGCATTTAGGCACATTTCTATGTTTGTTTCCTTAGTGTAGACTGCAGTGTGGAACCCTCCGCTCCTTTCCATGACTGTTACATCTAGAAAGGGCAGCTTCCCATCCTTCTCCATCTCGTAAGTGAAACGCAACACAATTATTACTTAACCTATACCGTTGATAGGTTAAGTAATAATTGTAAATAAGAAGCAATAAGATGCTTATCTTAACATACTAAGAAAGTTAGGTGAGGTCGGTGTTTTCTATGAAGCTTTTCAAGGTAAACTAAAATATTCACAATTAATTAGTATGTCACAGATGCACTTATTAAATAAGCCAATATTGACAGTAAGCAAATGCGAGAACGGGTTGCCCTGTGGCCCGTGTTCCCCGCAGTAAGTCAACAAATTCCTTTGGAGACTTCAGGCTGAAGGCGCAAGGGACATAAGGAATCAGCAAGCCGTTGAGTCGCTTCGCCATTCTGTATGTGGGTGTGGGTATCTGGCTGATGACTGGCTGAAGTGGGTTTCCAGGCTTATGAGTCTTGACATTTCCATATGCGTATCCAGGTTTATATTCCCCAATAATCTTTGGCAGGTGGAGTCCGGATTTCTTGGCGTTCACAGTTTCGATCAATTTGTTGACCTTTGCTTTCAATTTGGCTGTAGTGTCCTTCGTTACCCTTTGGAATTTAGTTTGGTCAAAGAGAATGAGGTTCATTTTCGCCAGATATTCGTCTTTTTTAAGAATGACGTATATTGGCGACTTGTCATCTCTTCTGACGACTATCTCCTTGTTCTCACAAAGGCTCTTAGCTGCTGCTTTGAGCTCGGGGGACAGTATGGTGCTTCTGTAGTTGCCTCGATTCTTTTCTCCTTCTGCAATAAGTTCTGCTTGTAAGGTGTCTTTGGTGGTGACCTTTTGTGTCTCGAATGAATATAGTTGCACAACTATATTCTACCCACCTCAAGACTCCGCTCCAATATAGAAGCATCAAGAAATATGGACCAATAGGCTTTCTACAATCACTTCTATTCAATACCCATTGTTTCATGTTCTGGCTTGTGTTGATGAAATTAATACCTTATTAAATACCACCTCACCCCATCCACCTCACTCAAATGTAGATATAAACAAAATCGGAGATGTGTAAGTTCTATTCAGTTGTGTATGTGTTAACTAAAGTCTTTGAAAATGTAATAAGCTTTACGAAACGTGCTCAAGTGTCGCGTCAGACTAGAAATAAAAATGAATTTTGGAGAATTGATTTTTGAATTACCTCCAACAGTGAAAAGAAATGTACGAAAGATTGAGAAAATTCGTGTTAGAATTATTAATCTTACTTTTTCGGTCATATTTAATAATATATATATATATATATATATATATATATATATATATATATATATATATATATATATATATATATATATATATATATATATATATATATTGGTAGCAGTCTTTCTTGTAAACATTTCTTAAATATGACCGAAAAAGCAAGATTAATAATTCTAACACGAATTTTCTCAATATTTCTTATGTTTCTTTTTACTGTCGATGGTAATTGAAAAATCAAATCTTCAAAATTCATTTTTATTTCTAGTCTGACACGACACTTGAACGCGATTCGTAATAACTTATTACATTTTCAAAGACTTTAGTTGACACACACAACTGTAACCTGAAAACACTAAACAGTCATACTTATACTAACACTAAACATCTGATCCGTCGTACTTATACTCGCATTTGGGTGAGGTGATATGGTGCAACAGTTTTGGATGAGTTGAACAAACTTGTGACAAATATATGACAGAACACGAAACAATGAGTATTAATTGGATATGAGAACATAAGAATGGAAGTAACTGCCGAGGGCATATTGGCCCATACTTCCTCTTGATGCTTCTATATTGGTTCGGAGTCTTGAAGTGGGTAAAATATAGTTGTGCATTAATATATTAATTTATAATTGTGCATTAATTGGCTGTATCAAGTCGATACAATGAGGAATTATTCAAGTATCCCACAGAACGTAGCAAATTTATTTTTTACAAAATCATATATATACCCCAACCAGGGATATCTGAAAATGATAACTATTTTGGTCCTGTTGAATTGAGTCAGCAGAACGAGGTATGTGGTAGCCGCATAATCCTTACTACCACCACTAAAGTCAGAACTATTGAGGAGTAATGACCAATTAGATACTAATTACCAGTAAAGGAGAGGTCGTGGAGAAGATAGAGCTGCCTCCCGGTCGATGATCTCACCACAAAGTCGACCAGCGCTGCCACACGCCTGCCCTCCGCTGCTCCAGACACCGCCCTGTCAAACTCCAAGCATCACTGTCAAGCCCAAGGGCATGGTTAAGCCCGGGAACATGGTCAAGCTCAAGTATCACACTGCCCAACCACATGACTTGAACGGTAGAGCGACGGTCTCGCTTCATGCAGGTCGGTGTTCAATCCCCGACCGTCCATAAGTGGTTGGGCACCATTCCATCACCTCGTCCTATCCCCAATCCTTATCCTGACCCCTTTCCAGTGCTATATAGTCGTAATGGCTTGTCAATTTCTCCTGATAATTCCCTCCCCCTCAAGTATCACTCAGTCATGTCCAAAAACACATTTTTAATGTTAGAGTCATGATGGAGAACATTGAACTAAAATAGTGGATGTTTAATAGCATGAAATAAGTGTCTTCCTGAGGTTGACTGAAGATTGACTCCGTCAATCCTGCTTTGATGACGGTATGGGGCGAAGATTTGGTTAATACAGAATTGTCATAAGTGTTAACGCTAATTATAATATGTGAATGACATAAGGTTCTACACACATATTTGTTCATTGGTATAAGGTTCTGTTTTTGAAAGAAATTAGATGTTCTTTGGCAGTTTTATTGAGTGAAGCACTTTTCTGTGTTGTGATAACTTAGGGTCGTCTTAAAGAACGTCTTAAGAGGTCATCTTTGATCGTCTCTAATCGTCTTCAAGATGGTTTACAGAACTACACAGTAACCTAAATCATAACTAAAACCTATTAAATGGATTAATATTTTGAAGTTCGTTAGCATATTATCTCTTACTATGAGTTACATATGAGATTCGTTTTTGATGGCAATAGATAAGGTATTTTAAATTAAAACTAAACTGTGTTTTTATTAAACAAAGAACTATAATAGCGACTTTTGTTGACAATAACGTCATACGCTTGTGACGTTTAAGCTGGCCAAGCTTAGAGTTATTTTGTAGCTCTGAGATATCAAGCTACTTTGAAATTGGTGAGGACAAAATATAATGTGTAAAAAATCTATCGCATTTTCAATGCCAAAACTGTGAGCTGATGTTAGATATAAATATTAATAACTCATTAATATATAAATAAAAATTAATGTTTGCTTGTATTTGATCTTTCCAAATAGTACAAGTCAAATGCCCTTTAAATTGAGATACATTATTATTAAAAGAAAAAGTTTATAGTGATAAGAAAACTATAATTTTTTGAGAAATGATTCTTTTTCCAACACATTTTTCGAAGTTGGGCCTTGAAGAAAACTTGAACACATTGTCTGCCCACCTCGACGGAAAGGTCGTCCCACAAGAATGTAAGGGTCGTCTCCCCCTCCCACGAGTATATAAAGGTCGTCTCCCCTCTCCCAGAAGTATACAAGGGTTGTCTCCCCCCCTCCGGTGTATACGACCACTGACTTAAACCTTTGGCCCCCGTATCCAATGTGATATAACTTTAGAAAAAATATAATTTTAGAAAACGGAAACTAAATTAATACCAGGCAGTGAGGACCTCCCTTTAACCCAAGAGCCCGCGTGTGTGTACCTTGAGGCCAGTAGGGAGGTGATGCCGTTGTGGGCTGGTGTGGGGCCTGAGGAGCCTGGGGTCTGGGCATCGTGTTGGGCACTCGTCAACGCTGGTGGAAGGCCGGTGTTGGCACTCCTTAACGCACTCCACCCGCTCGCTCCTGTCACCCTCTCACCTCCTGCAGTTGGTGGTGAAATGCCACGAATTTATAGAAACAGGAATTTATTTACACACACACATATTGCCAATGTTTTCTATTTACCTTATATTTGTCTTCACTTTAGAAGGGAATTGTAAAAATGAACTCCCCAGAGTTCATTTTTTCAGTTGATGTTGTTGTGCAGTAACTTTTGAAAGTTTTATTTGACCCTATTCATTTGATTGGCCACACAGGTGGCGTTCAAAATAAGACGAGGAGTGTTTACCACACATTAAGAAAATGTTTAGAAGTAGTTGTTGTTTAAGATTCAGCTACTGGAACACAAAGTTGCACGGGCTATGATGATCCGTAGTGGACTTACCTGGCACACGAGCGGGGCAAGTAGCACGGGCTATAATGAGCCCGTAGTGGAATTACCTGGCACAGGAGCAGGGCAAGTAGCACGGGCTATAGTGAGCCCATAGTGGATTTACCTGGCACAGGAGCGGGGCAAGTAGCACGGGCTATGATGATCCGTAGTGGACTTACCTGGCACACGAGCGGGGCAAGTAGCACGGGCTATAGTGAGCCCGTAGTGGACTTACCTGGCACAGGAGCAGGGCAAGTAGCACGGGCTATAGTGAGCCCATAGTGGATTTACCTGGCACAGGAGCGGGGCAAGTAGCACGGGCTATGGTGATCCGTAGTGGACTTACCTGGCACACGAGCGGGGCAAGTAGCACGGGCTATAGTGAGCCCGTAGTGGACTTACCTGGCACAGGAGCGGGACAAGTAGCACGGGCTATAGTAAGCCCGTAGTGTACTTACCTGGCACAGGAGCGGGGCAAGTAGCACGGGCTATAGTGAGCCCGTAGTGTACTTACCTGGCACAGGAGCGGGGCAAGTAGCACGGGCTATAGTGATCCCGTAGTGTACTTACCTGGCAAGTAGCACGGGCTATAGTGAGCCCGTAGTATACTTATCTGGCACAGGAGCGGGACAAGTAGCACGGACTATAGTGAGCCCGTAGTGTACTTACCTGGCACAGGAGCGGGGGTGTAACTTCTAGAAATGTAACTGTTTAGAAGTGCTGACTGCCACACATCGCACAGCCTCCCGATGCTGTCAGTTGCCATAGACTGTTACCTGAAGTCTGAAGGCGACTTTTCCTGCCTCAATGACTTAAGCATTGTATCGACCATTGGAATACAAGTTATATATATATATATATATATATATATATATATATATATATATATATATATATATATATATATATATATATACACACACACACACACACACACACACACACACACACAGAAGTTGTTACATTCTTGTACAGCCACTATTACGCATAACGTTTCGGGCGAGTCCTTAATCCTGTGTTCCCTGGAATACGACCCCCCCCCCCCCCCCCCCCCGAAGAATAGTTTTACAACTAAGTACCCGTTTTACTGTTGAGTTAAACAGAGGCTACAGTTAAGGATTTGCGCCTTAGTATACTAAATCCTAGATAAATATAGTAGTAAATCGTCCCCGGCCAGGATACGAACCCAGGACAAAGCGCTCGGGGAACGTCAGGCGAGCGTCTTACCCCTACGCCACGGAGACTGCAAGTGAACACAACCATACCATAGCTGAGTTCCGTAGTGTTATTAACACCCAACACATACTATACAGTTTACCTGGCGAGGGTACTCATCCAATATTTGGTCTACCGTTAAACTTGGTGTATGGAAACACACGTCACATTATGTATTTCCTGGAGGTAAGAGATGTTAAGGGGGAACTGCGGTAAAATTTGTTTTAAGTTTTTATCCAACGGATGCTTAAGCCTCAGGCTGCGCCAGGACGGTATTATGATGCAGGTGTGGCGGCTGTCCACCTATTCTTCCCCGCTCTGGTTATAATGTTGGGTTACGTGAGTTGGAGTCTTACGGGCTCACCATAGCCCGTGCTACATGGACATTTCGGTCTGAGTAACTAAATCTAAAACAACGAGCTGGAGACCCTGCGCTCAAACTCAACATTAATCCAACGACGGCAGCTGCATTAGATGCAAATTCCACAGCGAATACAATGATTAGACAGGCGATGAGTCACAATAACAATGAATCATATAATGATTAGAAAAGCAGTTGAAGAAGAATGGGACACACTAATGAACATTCTGCATCTATATCCGCCACCAAGATAATGTTTTAAAACAAGACTAAAACCAGTGAGCTAAAACTTAAGCAAAAAAGAAACATGGGGAAAAGAACGATACCCCACCTCCATTTTCTTTCGTCCCAAATCCAAATATTAGCGCTCATTGTCTTAACGTTCACTTGTCACTAATGCACAAACGGTTTCACGGTCCACATACCTGACTGGCGGAGGAGACAGGTGGCATAGATGACCACCGACACGTGAAGCATCGCTGATGTCACCAGGAGGTCACCACGGTACTGATGTCACCAGGAGGCCACCACAGTAATGACGTCACCACGGTACGGATGTCACTGGAAGGTCACCACAGTACTGACGTCACCAGGAGGTCACCATGGTACTGACGTCACCAGGCCACCACAGTACTGACGTCACCAGGCCACCACAGTACTGACGTCACCAGGTCACCACAGAACTGATGTCACCAGGTCACCACAGTACTGACGTCACCAGGAGGTCACCACGTTACAGACGTCACTAGGAGGTCACCACAATACTGACGTCACCAGGTCACCACAGTACTGACGTTGCAAGGTCACCACAGTACTGACGTCACCAGGAGGTCACCACAGTACTGAGGTCACCACAGTACTGACGTCACCAGGTCACCACAGTACTGACGTCACCAGGAGGTCACCACAGTACTGACGTCACCAGGTCACCACAGTAATGACGTCACCAGGTCACAACAGTAATGACGTCACCACAGTACTGACGTCACAAGGTCACCACAGTACTGAGGTCACCAGGTCAAAACAATACTGACGTCACCAGGTCAAAACAATACTGACGTCACCAGGTCACCACAGTACTGACGTCACCAGGTCACCACAGTACTGACGTCACCAGGTCACCACAGTACTGAGGTCACAAGGTCACCACAGTACTGAGGTCACCAGGTCAAAACAATACTGACGTCACCAGGTCAAAACAATACTGACGTCACCAGGTCACCACAGTACTGACGTCACCAGGTCACCACAGTACTGACGTCACCAGGTCACCACAGTACTGACGTCACCAGGTCACCACAGTACTGACGTCACCAGGTCACCACAGTACTGACGTCACCAGGTCACCACAGTACTGACGTCACCAGGTCACCACAGTAATGACGTCACCAGGTCACAACAGTACTTACGTCACAAGATCACCACAGTATTGACGTCACCACAGTACTGACGTCACCAGGTTACCACAGTACTGACGTCACCAGGTTACCACGGTACTGACGTCACCAGGAGGTCACCACAGTACTGACGTCACCAGGTCACCACGGTACTGACGTCACCAGGTCACCACAGTACTGACGTCACCAGGTTACCACGGTACTGACGTCACCAGGTCACCACAGTACTGACGTCACCAGGTCACAACAATACTGACGTCACCGCAGTACTGACGTCACCAGGTCACCACAGTACTGACGTCACCAGGTCACCACAGTACTGACGTCACCAGGTCACCACAGTACTGACGTCACCAGGTCACCACAGTACTGACGTCACCAGGTCACCACAGTACTGACGTCACCAGGTCACCACAGTACTGACGTCACCAGGTCACCACAGTACTGACGTCACCAGGTCACCACAGTACTGACGTCACCAGGTCACCACAGTAATGACGTCACCAGGTCACAACAGTACTTACGTCACAAGATCACCACAGTATTGACGTCACCACAGTACTGACGTCACCAGGTTACCACAGTACTGACGTCACCAGGTTACCACGGTACTGACGTCACCAGGAGGTCACCACAGTACTGACGTCACCAGGTCACCACGGTACTGACGTCACCAGGTCACCACAGTACTGACGTCACCAGGTTACCACGGTACTGACGTCACCAGGTCACCACAGTACTGACGTCACCAGGTCACAACAATACTGACGTCACCGCAGTACTGACGTCACCAGGTCACCACAGTACTGACGTCACCAGGTCACCACAGAACTGACGTCACCAGGTCACAACAATACTGACGTCACCGCAGTACTGACGTCACCAGGTCACCACAGTACTGACGTCACCAGGTCACCACAGTACTGACGTCACCAGGTCACCACGGTACTGACGTCACCAGGTCACCACGGTACTGACGTCACCAGGTCACCATGGTACTGACGTCACCAGGTCACCACAGTACTGACGTCACCAGGTCACCACAGTACTGACGTCACCAGGAGGCCACCACGGTACTGACGTCACCAGGTCACCACGGTACTGACGTTACCAGGTCACCACAGTTCTGACGTCACCAGATCACCACGGTTCTGACGTCACCAGGTCACCACAGTTCTGACGTCACCAGGTCACCACGGTACTGACGTCACCAGGTCACCACAGTTCTGACGTCACCAGGTCACCACAGTTCTGACGTCACCAGGTCACCACGGTACTGACGTCACCAGGTCACCACGGTACTGACGTCACCAGGTCACCACAGTTCTGACGTCACCACGGTACTGATGTCACCACAGTACTGACGTCACCACAGTACTGACCTTACCAGGTAACCACAGTACTGACCTCACCAGGTCACCACAGTACTGACGTCACCACAGTACTGACCTCACCAGGTCACCACGGTAGACGTCACCAGGTCACCACAGTACAGACGTCACCAAGTCACCACAGTATTGACGTCACCAGGTCACCACATCACTGACGTCACAGGTCACTGCATGCCTTTCAATCTCCCTCGATATTCCTGCAACAAATAAGTAATTCTGAATATTAAATTCTCAAGCTGTGGAGAGGGGGAGAAGCCCCCCCCCCCC